ATCTTATGTTATGGATATTTTACCACAGTATTTTCTACTATGGTAAAATAATACAACAAAAAATTCGATAAAATATGGATAACATAGAATTTTATATATTGTATAGTGATACCTGGCCCCATCCCAGACCAATTACATCAGAATTTCTTGGGTTGTGGTTTGGACATCAGTATTTTAATACACCAAAAAGAGAGAGAGAAGGGGAAAAAGACATTATGTTAAAAAAAAAAAAAGTTATTATTTCTGGATGGTTAATTTTGGAAAAGTTTTGCGTGTGTTTATGATTTATGTAATTAAATAAAAGCCAAAAAAGAAAAAAAAAAACATTTTAAAAAAAGTTGATTATACGAGAGCTGAGCTGAAAGCAGCCCTAGGCTATTCCCGGCCGTGTTCCTTTTCTTGCACAGCGTCTAGATTTGGCACCAGCCAACCCCCTTCTCGACAAGGGAACCAACTGGCAAAGAGTGAAGCACATTGTGAGTTGGTGAAGGAGGCTCAGACGAGCCAAGGTTTGGGAGTGAAGGGAAGGCCAAGGTCCTCAGAGGTACAGGTGCATAGATCAACTTCCAAGACCAGGCTGAGGGACCTGCCCAATGGAGCTTGTCCTCACAGGGAACTCCCCGTGTCTGGGATGAGAGGAAGTTTTGTTACATCCTAGAATCTTTATGTTAAACAACAGTTAGCTCAGTCTTTATCTGCAGAAAATTACTGAAGTCATCTAAGCCACACTTCTCTTGCCTCTCGAGTTTAGCTCAGCTGTTAGCAAACAGACTCGATAAAATTCACAACAGGCCATGAGGACAATCAGAACTGCTGGGAGAGTGTGAGCGCTCAGCTGCTTTCTATCAGCAGATAAACATTGCACATTGGGCCTTGGGACATTGTTCTCACACCAGGGTGGGTCCGTCAATCTAGTCTCCACCTGTGATTATAATGAAGGGCATTTTCAAAAGGCTTTGATGGCCTGTCAACTTCTCACTGAAACTAATTTAAAATCTTTCCTACTTCCATGTAGAATAATTACCATGCTGGATATTTTCCATTTTCCCCTCCAGAGCTACTTTCTAGCCTGCTCTGTGTCCTGGAGGCTGACCTCCATGGATTATATCAACTAGGCTCCCTTGTCCTCTGGTTTCCTGTTGGGTTTGGCCAATGGGAGGCACTGGCAGGAGACCAGAGGGTGGGAGGAGAGAGGCGGGGGTATTTGTTCCCACTGTTTCCTCTCTGCCTGGCAGTGGATGGTAGGGCTGCTCTCCTCCACTGAAGACCACGTGCTGTTGGCTGACCCTCTCTACAGCTACAGTCCTCCCCCCAATCCAGAAACTGCCCGTCTCATTTCAGGACTATGGGGGGCGGTGGTGGTGGTGGTCATCATCACTGTGGTGGTCACATGCTGGTCCCAGAGGGCTTCACCATTCCTCATTGGTTTCTCTTAATGCCAACATTTTTGCCCTTCACTCACTGCTCATCAGGCATCTCATTTGAGCATGCCATCCCCTACTTCCTGTTCTGTTGTTGTTGTTATTTGCCATCGAGTCGGCCCCGACTCATAGCGGCCCCTCCTTGGGTTTCCAAGGCAGTATCACTAGGGAAGTAGATTGCCCAACCTTCCTTCTGAGGAGTGGCTGGTGGGTTTGAACCGTCAGCCTTCTGGTTAACAGTCAAGTGCCTTAGGTACTATGCTACCAGAGCATCCACTTCCTGTTCTAACTGACACAATTACTTTCACAGTTTTTTCTAGAATGGGCTTGTGGCTGGTTGTCTCAGCTAGGAGGATGCAATGAGGCCAAGAATATGGGTATGACTCTTGGCTTTGTTTGTTCAATGGTGGTCTCTAGCCTGGTTTAGCTTTCTTCCTTGAGTGCCAAAGAGACTACACTTCTTTGTGGCTGTAATATGGCAGCTGATATTTACTGAGAGCCTTCTCTCGACAAACACTGCATTATGGGATGTACTTGTGGCTTTTCCTACCTCCAGCCTGCCCCCTTCCCACAGATGAGAGAACTGAGGTCCAGAGAGTTTACGTAGCTTCCCTGGGGTCACACAGCAACCTTGGGGAAGGAACTAAGATCTAGGTTCAGATCTTATTCAAAGATGTGTGTGTGCTTTGCAGTGGGCCAGATTGCCTCTGGTTACCTGAGTGCAGAGATTTTAGTACAACTGCAAGAATTTGCTGTCAGTGGCCCAATACTATAAATATTACTGTTTATAGTAAAGGGACAATATATGGGAGCAGCAGCTTGGCAGCAGTAGAACACTCTGAAAATTCTTGAGACCTAAGGGGACCTGTATTAGGCACGGCACCCCTGGGATTGATGGCATTTGTGATGTGTGCACCCATTCTGGCAGGGTGTGGTAACCCAGCCTCACCTAGACATATTCTCCTCAGCAAGCCTGACAGGATCTGTCTCCTGAAATGCCCTGTGTGTTGAGATGACCACACAGGCTGTGTCTGTACGCTGCCTGGTACCTGACCTCAGACACTCAGAATGGCTGGTTCCTTGCAGTGTTTTGACCCCCAGGATGGGAGCTGTTTCTGCTTCCCATCTCAGCTCTCAGTGTCTTGGGAACACAACTGACTGATGAGAGACCCTCAGGCCTCAAAAACAGACTCAAAAATACTGAATTTATTTCTCAGGAAATGTGCACGCTCTTTCTCTCTCTCCTTTTTTTTTTTTTTTTGCCAACTTCCTGAGGCCCAGTCTCTGCAGTTCTGCAATGCTGGTTTAACATTATGTCCAATTCACCAAGCTTGCTAATTGAACTGTTTAAATCCCCTCTTGTCTTATCATTTTTTGGCTCTACATCTAGCAGCCCTCATCAAAAAAAAAAAAAAAAAGAAAAAAAGAAACTGCAGAATTGCCCAGAATCACATAGATCATTTTGACACAGCTTTGTTTTTTACTGAAAAAAAAAAAAAAAAAATATGGATACAACTAATGATCTGAGATGATCTGAAGTAGAAGTGACATTTTGATTGTTGACGATGATTTTATAGTTTTAAAATTGTGCGCTTTATAGTCATGACTGTTAGTCATCTTTTCTAATTATGTTATAAGGAAGGGCAGTCTTAAATTATAATAGTAACGATGGGCAATTTTTATTTGAAAATATTTATTGACTTATTATGCGCAAGGCATCTTCTAGACCAGCACTGTCCAATGGAAATAGAATGTGAACCAGAAATGCCAATCACATCTGTGACCCAAAAATGTCTAGTAGCCACATTAAAAAAAGTGGGAACAAAGAAAAAAGGTGAAATTAATTTTAACAATCTATTTTATTTAAAGGAGCTCTGGTAGCATAGTACCTAAGGCACTTGACTGCTAACCAGAAGGCTGGTGGTTCAAGCCCACCAGCCACTCCTTGGAAGGAAAGTTAGGCAATCTACTTCTGTAGAGAATACCACCTTGGAAACCCAAAGAGGGGTTGCTATGAGTCAGATCCGACTCGACGGCAGTGAGTTTGGTTTTTTTGGTTTTTAGAAGCCTGGCGGGTATTTCCCACAGCACATCTCAGTTAGCTGCAGTCACATTTCAGGTGCTTAGTAGCCGCACGTGGCCTGTGACTTCTGTCTGCTGTCCTGCAGCTCTATAGGGAAGATGGTTTGCCTGACGATCGGGTGATGAACTATTACCCCGGCATAAATCACCACCCACCCTCTCCCTCACCTAAAGTTAACTAACTCTATTCACAGTATTAGAACTATAATCCAAATGCCCCAGGAGAGTAAATTCACTAGATGTTAAAGAGCACCCAGCAGGCAAACAGTTAACGTGCTCAGCTACTAACCAAAGTCTCTGAAGGCTTGAATCCACCCAGAGGTGCCTTGGAAGAACACCTGGTGATCTCCTTCTAAAAACCGAGCCTCTGACCTTCTCATGGAGCACAGGTCTAATCCAACACACATGGGGCCATGTGAATCGGAGCGGATTCAACAGCGACTGGGCCTGGTAGGCACTGAACTCATGTTTCTTAACTTTGAGTAAAGCATTTAGTTCCTTAACCCAGAATCACTTGATATGTAAATTGGGATCCATCTCCAACCTGACTTCTTGTTTTGCTCTTATTGCTATTAAACTGTTGTTGTGTGTTGTCAAGGTTAACAAAAAAAAAACAAAACAGACTTGCAGTCATCGAGTCAATTCCGACTCATAGTGACCCCCTGTGTTCAAGTCCTCCAGGTCGACCAGCAGGCCTTGCTTCACATGTCCCATGTTTTCACAGCACCTAGATCTGCTCCCTAAGGGTTGCGGTTCAAACCCACCAGCTAATCTGTAGGAGGAAGATAAGGCAGTCTACTTCTGTAAAGATTTAGAGCCTTGGAAACCCAATGGAGGTCGCTATGAGTCGGGATCAACTCCATGGCAGTGGGTTACATTTTCACAGAAGCACACTGCCTCATCTTTCTCCCCCAGAGCAGCTGGTATGTTTTGGTTAACATTCAAATACTTAACCACTGTGCAACCAGAGCTTCTTAAGATTCATAAAACCAAAAACTCCAAACTCACCGCGTTCAAGCCGGATCCAACTCATAGTGACCCCTTGTTGGGTTTCTGAGGTGGAATCACTACGGAAGTAGATTGCCCAACCTGCCTTCCAAGGAGCGGCTGGTGGGTTTGAACCGTCAGCCTTCTGGTTAGCAGTCAAGTGTCTTAGGCACTACACCACCAGAGTCCCCTTAAATTATTTCAGCTTAAACTTAAATTTTATCATGGAACTTGCTAGACTTTGCTAGGTCTTTGTATCCAACTGGCCACTGCAGCTTCCTATTTTTGCCCCTGACAGCAACCTGGGTGACCTCAACCCAAGATGATCAAGACTTTCTAATTCTTCAAAGTTCTAATTTAGTGGCAGAGCTTGTCAAAGATGTGAGCTCAAAGGACATTCTCTCACACCACACAAGGCCGTCCACATTCCTGAAGCCGGGGAAAGTGAGTTTGTTCCCACCTGGTATTTCTGGCCAGCGGAGAAGGTCGAGTGGGCGGGCGCGTTCTTACCCGGGACTGCTGGTGCTTCTGGTAGAACTCGTTCATGTCCAGGTCCTCCAGGTCGACCAGCAGGCCTCGCTTACACATTTCACATGTTTTCACAGCACTTAGGTCTGCTCCTTAAATTAGATAAAGAATCATATGTTACATATAACCCTGGATCTGTTTGTGTTGACATTTTGGACAGGAAATATTTTGAGAGAGAACTTGTATGTGTGTGTGTGTGTGTGTGTGTGTTATGAATTCTGAGCATCAGTGACCTTCATTTCAAGCCAGCCATCTTCTGTAGAAAATAACCTTGAGTCTGAGATCCAACAAATACTCTTTGTAATCATTTTCATTATTATGCAGCTTCATGTATGTGAAATTTCCATGACTTTTAAACAACAAAAAGTAAGGTCTTGCTTTCTATTAAATATATACACAATGGCTCATAAAATTGGAATTGCTATGTGAGCTCTGAGTCTGTAACATAGATGCTTGCAAAAAGAATGAACACTGGGCTCATGCTATTTTTTCTTTCTGACCTAACATACATCCAAGGAAATAAATCTGCGAGCACTAAACGGATGAGAGAAGCTTTCTTTGACCTGTGGCCTAAAAATCTGCCTTTGTTCCTCCTGCCCAGGCGACACTCCCACTTGAGAAAAGTGAGGGAGCCAGTGGCTAGGTGTGGGGAGTGGTTATAACAGTGTCCAGGGCCAGGACTCAGCTGAGCTCAGCCTCATTTGGGAAAAGAAACATGAGAAGGCTTCCTTTGTTGCTGGGTTATTTCTGTTCGTGTGTTAAAACGGGCATCCCACATCAGCATTTTTCCCCACTTGCAAATTTTTTTTCCCAATACAAAAGTGGAGGATGTAGCATCCTGGCTGTATGTCCCCACAAAGGCTCTGTGGTACACTTTTTCTCTAATTAGTTGTTGCACTTTGGCTAATGAAGTACTGGTGTTTATTTCACGCATTAGAATATAGAAGATTAATTCATTATCTTCCTTTATTTGGTAAAGATAGGGCGTGTGCAGTTTTATAGCCCAGTTCTATCTTTCTCCACTAGGGACATAAAAAAAATTGTAAAGGAGAGACTTCAAAGGACAAGGCTACACCTTGATCCCTTATCTGTAGTTTGTTTGTTTGACTTTTCTTTTTTAGCATCTTTTCCATAATGCAATAGGCTACTGAACGTCCCATGTCGAACCCTGCTGAACATACCCACACCAGCATCAGCATGCACAAGCATTTAGCTATACTTTCATCCTACGTTTGGTGAGTACTTTTTTCTGTGCTAGATGCTTCCAAAACCAAACCCACTGCCAGTAAGTCGATGCAGACTCAGTGCCCCTTTAGGACAGAGTAGAACTGCCCCATAGGGTTTCCAAGGCTGTGAATCTTTAAGAAGCAGACTGGCTCATGCTTCTCCCGTGGAGCTGCTGGTGGATTGGAACCAGAAATTTCTAGTAAGACAAAGTACTTCAGGGCAGACTCAGTAACAATGTAGGTCTGCTTGTTTCTTCACTGAGTGCACGGCTTGGCCTGTGAAGGCACGGTTCCGCATCGTGTGCGGGCAGTGGTCTTACACTCTCAAGCTAGGGGAGGTGCTTCGTGGAGAAGGAGCTCTGGGAGGCGGCAATTTACACAATTTCCCGCACCTGGCATTTCTCTGCCTTGGTGAGAGCACAGCAACATCCATGGGGACACGGCCACGCTCTAGGTCTCCCAGGCAGCCTGGAACGGCGATAACCAAGCGCCAGAACGAGGGAGAGGCGAGAGATGGGGTCTGGCCATGCCGGAAAGTTTCCTGAGAGGCGTGTCGCAAAGACAGCAGCTATTTTCCAATCGAGTAGCTCTTTGCATGCAAGTGCTGGGTTTTTTTTTCCCCCCGTTAAAGTTGTTCTCATTTCTAGAAGCATGTTTTAAAGAAACCTCCTATACTCTGCCAAGAAAATCACAGCAGACCTGCTGATGTGGCTATATTTAGGCTTTAACTTCTGCAGGGAGTTGAGAAGGGGCTTCACGCCCAGTTCTAAGTTCTGTTAGAGAGAGCTGACAAACCAGCACACGGAACTCTTCATCGACGACAGCTCTGGAGAACCCCAGCCGCTCTCCTCTCTCGCCCCACTGCACAGAGGCAGCTTTGCTCCGTTCCTGAGGCGGCCTCCTTCGCGCCTCCCTTCACAAAGCTGCGGCAGTGGGTATGTTCTGGGCTTCCAGCACCGAGTTATTTTTGCCACGTGTCTGCTAGCTGGGCCTGGCTGCGTGTGCTTTGTGGAGGGTCCGCTACTGACCCCGCTTCCCCTCTTCCCTTTCTCCTGGGAGGTGATGCTGGCATCTCTGCTCAGGCCTCAAGCGGGGCAGGATTCAATAGCATAAGGTTCCGGATTCTTCTCTCAGACTTGAAAAAGAATCATTTCTGCCCGTAATGCAAAGAAAGCATTTAGAGCCCGCGGACTGCTGCCTCAAGGCCGTGAGCAGAAACGCCGGACTCCACCACGTTCCCCCAGTTTCTGCGGTCAGGGCTCTGGGCCCCACACCGATGTCTCCTAATAATTATGTGTCGTTGTACGTTTGCCGCGTTCCTTCCCCACCTACCTGATGTTATTTTCACTTGCAGCCACTTTTTCAGGCACTCTTGATGAACAAACTGCAGGCTTCCCACACAGCCGCAGGGCTCCAGGAGGGGGTTGTTGGGGGACCCCCCGGCTATCTGGCAGATGCGACACGCGTCTCCCTCCTCCTCGGAGTCCTCCTCCAGCAGACTAAACGGAAAACAAGCCCCCGTGACCAGGCGTTTACACGTTTGCAGTTTCCACAAACACCTATTCCCAGGGTGTTAGTGGGGGAAAGATGAGAGAGCAGTCCCCTAATCCTGTACCCACCACAGCTTCCGAGGCTCGCCCACTGGTCCCTATGATCCCACCAAACAGTCCTCCCAGTCTGGTTGTTGGTAAAGGTGCAGCAATTCTGACACCAGGCTCCTTGGCTGTTACCGATACTTGTGGGTGACTGCGGGAACCAGCTGTGCTGTTCGATCAGCCTAGAGGTGTGGGAAAGGGCCTTCCTCTCAGCATAGCCACCACGAGGAAGTTGTGAGCGCGTGTGTGTATGGGGACGAGCACAGAGATTTGTGGTCAGGGGTCCTGGGTTTGAGGTCTGCCCCTGAAACCTGTGAGTTGTGTAACCTTGGACAGGTTACTTAAACTTTCTTAATTGAGTTACTGGACTTTGCTCCTCTGTAAAATCAAGGTCATCATGATGATAATTCTACTACTACTGACTTCACAGGGTGGTGGACAGACTGGCTGCAATGGGGGTTGTGAACTTGTTTTGCAAACTGTAACCTGTACCCAATGTCTGGTAAAATGTTGCATATTAAGAAGAAAAGAAAAAACAAAAAACCAGTTCCTTGGAGTCACTTCAGACTCCTGGCAACCCCACGTATGTCAGAGTAGAACTATGCTCCAGGGGGTTTTCAGTGGCTGTTTTAGGAAGCAGATTGCCAGACCTTCCTTCTGAGTGCCTCTGGGAGGGCCCTGAATGCCAGCGTTCCAGTTAGCACCTGTTTGCATCACCTGGGCCATGACGTCACTATTGGTTTGGATGAATGATGAACCCAGACGTGAGCTTCCCAGTAACACACACTTGCCAGCACATTCTGTCAACATTCCAGAATGTAAGCTGCTGAAGTCTGATAAAGATGGATTTCATGAAAATGTAAGCACATGTATTCATGTCTAATAAATGGCGGTGAGGACTAGCTGGTTGATATTCATGCAAGGAGGCTTTGAAGAAGCCTTTGACGAGTTATTTGCAAAAGCGGATTTTTAATTTTATTCTTCAGAATTATCTTGGGACTGGGGACTGCCTGGTCAAGGAAAGGAAACTGGCTAGAGACTGAAATCAAAGGAGAGGAAGAAATGAATGTTGCTCTGGAGAGAGAAGTACACTCTCTGTTTCTTAAGCGACTTTCTTCCCCAAGAAAGGGCAGGTCAGTGAAAAGCAGCAGAATTAAGGAGCTTTTCATTATGGAGATCTTGAATATTTAAAAACTATTTTCAGTATTGGAAATGGTGAGATTGCAAATATGAAAACTTTCCGGATGAGCAATTTGACAATATACATTAAAAGCCTTAAAAATGTACATTTTCTTTCCTCAGCAATTACACATTTAAGAAGTTATTCTGATTAATTGATTATAAATATGCTCAAAAAGGAGACTAATCAAATTACAAGTTACATTCAATATAAATTAAGCAGTCCTTAAAGAAAACTTGTATAACACTGTAAGGTCAGAACTAATAATGGGTTGAAAAGGAAGAAGTTAAACTCTTATTATTCGCAGTTCAAATTATTTTCCACATAGCAAACCCCAGATAATTTACAGACAAAACAGTCCAGTTAAAAAGAGGGCTTCACAAGAATACAGAAAAAATACACAGCCAATTGCATTTCCATACACCAGCAATAGTTAAAATGATAACACTTTTAAAAAAACTGTCATTTGGGTGAAAGTTTACAGAGCAAATTCATTTTCCAAAAATTATGATTTTAATAACAAATAAAGTACTTAGGGATTTCCATTGAGTTGGTTCTGTCTCCTGCAATTCCATATGTGTTGGAATTAGAACTGTGCTCTGTAGGAGTAAACCAAACAAAATATGTGCAAGATTTTTATAAAGAAAACCACAAAATGACATTGAAAAGGCATTAAAGAAGACATAAATGAGAGATGCACCAAGTTTTTGGAAGGAAGAGTATCTCAACGATGTCGATAAACCACTGCCATCAAGTCAATTCCGACTCATAGTGACCCTATAGGACACAGCAGACCTGCCCCATAGCATTTCCAAGGCAGTAATCTTTATGGAGGCAGACTGCCTCTTATCTTTCTCCTGCAGAGTGGCTGGTGGGTTTGAACTGCCAACATTTTGGTTAATAGCCAAATATGTTAACCACTACGCCACCAGAGCACCTTCAAAGATGTCAACATGTCCCAAAATTATCTCTAGATTCAATGAATTTCCAATAAAAACCTCCAAAAGCTGATTCTTAAATGTATATATTGTTGTTATGTGCCGTCGAGTCAAACCTGACTCATAGTGACCCCTCCTTGGGTTTCCGAGGCAGTATAGTCACAGACAATTAATTAAAGGAGAACAAAGTGGAGAGGGAGGCTTTGTATCATCAATCATGAAGACATAAAATTGCAGACATTAAGATGGTGTGGTACTGAATTAGGGAAAGAGAAAAAGACAATGGAATAAAATAAGAGCCTTGAAACAGACCTACACATTTATAGGCGTGTTATATGTGACAGAAGTGGCCCCGCACACCAGTGGGGAAAGATTCCCGGGGCAATTTCTCCTTATGGTATTCATAAGGGAGAAAAATAAATCTTACCTCATACCACATTTTAAAAGTCAATTCTCATTTGAGTCTAAAATCTACTTCACATTAAGTACCAAATGTGTGCCATAAAACTAGAGATTCTAGAAGAAAATATGAGGACTATCATGATGACCTCAGGTTGGAAAGGATGTCTTAATCAAGACAACATCTAAATCACAATCCATAAAGAAGATTAATACATGTGACTACATTAAACTTAAGAATTTACTTTCATCGTAAGACATTTTAAAGAAAGAAAAGACAAACTACAAACTGGGAAGGACATTTTTAACCGTAACTGTTAAAGGAGTAGATTGCTAGCCAGAATATATCAAGGACTGCTAAAATAAATAAGACAGATGTTCTCAAAGAACAGTAGGCCAACAACATAAATAAATTTTCACAGAAGAAGGAACACAAATGGTCATTTAACATTGAAAAGATGTTTAACCTTAAGATGCAACTATTGGTCTCTCCTTGTCCAGAGCAAAGAAGATCAAAGATGCATGGAAATAGTCCAAAGGACTAACGGACCACGAAAACCTCAGCCTATCTGACCCTGTGACTAGAACAACAAGATGGCGCCCAGCTACCAATGCCAACCACTCAGGGATCAAAATTAGAGATCCTGCATAGAGTGGGAGAGAAAAAAATGTTAAACAAAATTTTGAAAACATAAAAAAGACCAGGTTTACTGGTCAGATAGAGACTGATGGAACCCACAAGCTTATGGTCCTGAGTCACCTGTCAGGCCTGGCATTGAACTTACTCATGTGGTTTAACTCTCAGCCAAACAACTATATCAGGGAAATGCAACTCCTTAGGACAATCAACCATGGGGGGTCAGAAGGGCAGCATTTGCACAGGAAGTAAGGTGGGGAGGCAGGAACAGAGGCAAGAAGGACACAGGGAAAGGGTAACCATGGGGA